GTGTTATTGGAGGAATTTGTGTCGAGTTGAAAGGGACTTTTAATTATCAAACGCACACATTCGAGAATTGTCCAGAACATTGCTTCTTATGTAAAAGAGGTATTTGTGATATATGTGAGTCTGGCAAAATTCTAGTAAATGGAGTTTGTCGACAACGGTCCATTGGGTATAAAACGGTATCAACAACGCATACCATCAGTTGTGAGGAAGGATTTTACAATATGAGAAATGTGTGTTATTTGTGTCACAAGTTGTTTCCAAATTGTGAACTTTGTGATCGAAAAAAGTGTTCCAAATGTGTGAGTGGGTATATACAAAACGAGTTTCTTAATTGTGTCGTTTACACGCCTATCACTTCAACTTTTTTGATATTAAAAGACAAAATGTGTCCTGTCGGATATTCACTTTCGGCGAATGGAATATGTTATGAGTCTATTGCACACTGTCTTCATCAAATTAATTCCACTTGTTTTCACTGTGAAGCAAATTACTATCTTTCATATGGAAAGTGTTACAGAGGCAAAATTAAACACGCCGAAAATTGCGAAATTTACACGTCGGTTGGATGTCTTCGCTGCGCAAAAGGATATTATGGGGACAGAAATAACAAGTGTAATAAATGCAATACGAAGTGTACTGAGTGTACAACAAACTCTGAAAAGTGCCAAAGTTGCATTTCTGGGACTTATTTGTATAATGGGAAGTGTGTCACATTCTTTGAGTTAGAGGGGATCTGCGATTCGTTTAATTTGAATGGGCAGTGTATTCGATGTATCGATGGGTATTACGTGACAAATTCTACATGTCAAAAATGTGATCACAATTGTAAAATATGTTCGAATGGTAATACATGTGAGAAGTGTGAGACTGGCTATTTCATGAATGAAAGCGGCTTATGTGAAACACTTTTGAACTTGTCGAATTGCTCTGCAACGTCTGAAGTACTTGGGTGTTTACTGTGTTCTGATGGATATTATAAAAATGGTATGCGGTGCTCAAAGTGCAATTCAAACTGTTTCAAATGTGCAACAAAAAACATTTGTTTGGAGTGTAACAATAACATGATATTACACGCAGGAAATTGTGAACCACGAACGTTCATACGACATTGTCAAACAATTGAAAATTCGATATGTAAACAGTGCAATTTTTGGTATGAAAAGTCGGATGACCAATTGTCTTGTGAAACTTTGAATTTAGTGAAATCCATTCACATGACATTGTTTATTATCGTCATTGTAATACTCACAACTTCTTTTCTTGTCAGTCTTATTGGATTTTATCTAATTCGTGTTCGTCACATGTCGAACGAGAGAAGTTTAAAAGGCGTCTTTTCTGTGAACGACATTAAAGAGAAATTATATGTCTGTATTGATCATATCTATACCTCGTCGAACACTATAAATATCCCCAATCAAATATCAGTGAATAAAATAACGGCAGTGGCAATCACTTTTGCTAACAAATCTTCAGATGTTGTTAAGATGCAACTTGTGTACAACCAAAATAAGTCATACGCCATTTCTATAAAACCAAACGTCGTCACTTTAAGAAATAAAGACGCAGTCACTTTCGCCATTTCTGTCTGTCCAAAATGCTCGGGCGATTTTTCAACGTTTCTGACACTCAGCTGCGTTTTTCTTTCAAGAAATGTCGAAATTAATAAACTCCTCCCAATCACCTTTTCCACTGAAATCTCAACGTTTATTGATGAAAGTTGTGTGACTGATTACCACAAAATCGGACATGGGAGTATTGGTGTCGTTTACCGCGCACTCTTCAAAGGCCAAGTTGTCGCTGTCAAGAAGCTCAAATTTGTTTTAGGGAAACGGGACAACGCGGACTTCACTCATGAAATTGCCATGTTCGAAAAATTAAAAAATCCGTTCATCATCACTTTCATCGGCGCAGTGCTGAACAACGACAATCAAATGATCGTTATGGAGTACGTCAAAAATGGGAGTCTCGAGGATATCATGAAAAAGTCTCAAAATAGCAAATTTGAACCCCTCTCCAAAAACGTCCGTTATAAAATTCTACTTGACACGGCGAGAGGAGTGCAATACTTACACATCAATGGAATTTTTCATCGAGATATTAAACCGGGAAATATTTTGGTTGTAGAAAGCAATTCGATTGAAAATGTCAATGCCAAATTGACCGATTTTGGGAGTGCAAGAAACGTGAATTTAATGTTAACAAATTTGACGTTTACAAAGGGAGTGGGAACACCTGTGTACATGGCTCCTGAACTTTTGGAGTGTCGGAAATACACAATTTTGGCGGATATCTATTCACTTGGAGTCACTTTTTATGAAGGATTTGGGTGGGTGGAAGCATTCGCGGATGTTGAATACACTTTTCAAATAGCACAGAAGGTCTCTGAAGGTATAAGACCAGACACAACCAACTTGAAAAGGGAAGAGAATGAATTGCTTGAGAAAATGTGGAAACAAAATCCAAAAGAAAGAATAGACATTAACGAGGTACTTATTATAATGAAAAACCTGTTTGAAACTGAACAAAGTCGTGAGAATTTTGATTATTTGTAAATTGATTGATTTGTATCTGTAAAATAATTTGGTTGTGTTGATATACAGTCAAACTTCCCAAAAGTAGTACTTTTTAAAAGTAAGCATTTGCAGCCAATTAAATTTTAATAACCATCCTAACAAGAATTGTTATTTCATTCGTTATTTGGTTTTTGTCTAAAAATGTACACCATTGAAAAAACAAAAAAATACAATACTTCCTACTACTGAAAAGTTCAAATTTATAAACAATTATATTTTAATATTCCACTTTTAATAATAAACAAGTTTGATTGTGTTAAAATTGGACAAGGATAATAGACTCTACTTGTTTATTTTAATGGTTCTGTTTGATAAAATAATAATTATTTTTGGTTATTTTATTTTTAAAAAAATAACCAAATATTTTATTATATGTGTAATTAATTTTTTGTATTTGTTCATTTGTTTGTGTTTGAATTAACATACTTATTTTTTTAACGAACATATTTATTAACAACATTTAAATAATAATAAACGTTAAAAATAACTATTCATTTAACCATTTTGTTATAGAATAAAAAACTCGTTAAATAAATAATATAAAATACACACTTTAAATTTGTTTTTTTATTGATTTTTATTATTAATTAATATTCAACTAGTTTATTATTATTTATAATTAGATAATTTACATTATTATTACAATTATTTTTTTTTTCAAAAAATTGTTTTTTTAAATCAAGTTACAAAAAAATTATTGTTTTATAATCCAATTCAAAAAACTAGAGAATACCATTGGAAAAAAAATGTACAATTAGTTTTATGATATTTTTCTGTACAATTTCAGGTTTTATTATTTTTTTCAAAGTCCAAGTTTTTTCCTGATTGTTCAGCCAAATTTCATGTGTGAATTTTTTATTCCCGATTTTTTGGTTTATTTACTACCAAAAATCACAAGTGTATAACAATTTTTTAATGGTGTTTAGTTGAAAATAATAATTAAAAAGAACTTAAATTTAAAAACTTGATGTCAAGCGATAATCCTTTTGCTGGTTTAAATTCCGACGTAGCTATTTTGGATCTTCTTTTTACAAAACTGGAGCCACTGTTTTGTGGAGTGGTAGACAAAGTGACAATGAATATTTCATTAGCAGATAGTGCGTATTATCGTGGTTTAATAACCGATGCCAAACAAAATTCGAAAAAAGATTTTAATAACCTTTTCATGTCACGTTTTCGTGACCGCATCAATCAAGGCTTTGCAAAATCGTTCAACCAACTAACACAAGAGAAGGAGAACACCGCTGTCTTTGTCGAGACGGTATCCGCCGAAATGAAGAAGTTTGAGTACTCGAAAGAAGTTTTGAAGTCCATTTTTGGAGCATTAAAATACGAAATGAAAGGGACGGACAATAACGTTGACACCTTTTTAGAGGAAAAATGGAACTCAAATTACTTAGTGGAACTCAACACGAATTTTGATTTAGTAAATTCCATTAGTAAATTAATATCAGACGACCGCATGCACGACGACTACTTTGAAACGAAAACCAAAATCGTTCAATTTGTCTCGAATGTCAACAACAACACTGACCCAAAAGACGTGTTTAATATTTTAAAAGACAAGTCCAAAAACGTCAATTTAGATGGCATTAAAAAGATCATAGAAATGTATGAAAGTGTCCTCACAGAACAAGAAGACCAACTTTCTATTTATCAACAAATTTGCTCGGCAATCGTTGAAAACTCCGAACGAGACTATTTAACACTTTATAACACTTTTAGAGAGAAAGACATCGTCTGGTTTTTGGAGTGCACTAAAAAGTTTTACGACAAGGAGAAACCCAAAATTGATTCATATGTAAATAGCGACGAGTTGAAGGTCACTATTAAAGAAAAAATGGAACACATTTTTATAACAAATACAGTCGATGAAGTCCTTGCGAATTATAAGACCGTTTTTTATTCGAAAAGTAATTTGGCACTTTCGTGTATTCAAATGTGCTTTTTAACAAACGAAATCGTCACTAAACAGTTTCTTGATAAAACAGAAGAACTCTTTTTAAAGAAGTGCACTGATCATATCAATGAAGCGCTTACAACTAATTTGGATATTTTAAATAACTCAGACGCTATTTCTAATCTTCTTTTAAAATTGTATGAATCTATGGAAGATTTAATTGTGAATGGATTTTTATCGGACTGGCGGTTCAAGAAAGTGTTGAACGAGACTTTAAAGAATATATTGATGAACAACGAGTTGTTAAATTTAGTCGGGGACGAC